TCTTTTAAGCTAAGTGTTAGAAGAAGCCCCTGATAACTGAGAAGGGGCACCTGTCTCTTTTTCATTTTTTTTGAATGCTTTTATTCTAAAGGTACTATATAAAATAGAAAAAAATATGGGAAAGAAGCTGATCCTAAGAGTACACCTTTTTTTTTTTTTTCGTATCCCTGATACAACCTTTTTTCTCAAGTTAAACCTGGTTTCTCTCAGTGTCATTATTCTTTAAAATAATTAGTTAAAAGATTGGGATACTAGTCATATTAAGTTTATTTTTTAAAATACCTCTTATAATAAAAAAGAATGAAGCACACCATCATCAGACACTGAGAACTAAGCACATAGTCCAAAGTCAAAGAAGGGATTAGTATCAGAGCTGAAGTGTGAGAGTCGGGTGTGCAGAAGGCTATGGATGACAGTGGAAGCCCACATCCATTTGTGGAACGACATAGGAAATAGGGCTCTGGTGAACACCCTCTGCCCACAATGGAGAGATAGAAGGAAAATAGTTGCTGAACGGAATGCATTAGAGAGTTGAATATAGGAAATCAAAGGCATAATTCTGACTTGAACAGTTAAAACAGTCAGTAGATCCTGCTATGATGCATGCTGGACCAGATCTGGTTTCCGAAATTTTCTGTATTTTTGGTTTGTACATATTAGGGTATCTCGGAGGTGTTAGGTCATTGGGGTCACCCTCTTGAGGTGGTGTTTATATATTGTTCTCATTTTTAAGTACATGGAACTCAAGATTGATGAGCCTACAGAGATAGCAAGTCAGATAAAAAACATTTGGGGGAGGAACGGTACAGTGGTGGTGTGGGGAGGTGAGGAGACACTTTCAAGGAGTCCGGGTAGAAAAGGAATGTTTGGAGACTGATTATGGTAGCAAATGCACAATTTGACTAAATGTGAACTACAGAATGATATGATTATATATTAATTCCCAATTAATAATAAAAAAGAAGTAACATCTTTAGAACTCAGATGCATGTATTTTCCTCTGCATAGAGTAAAATCATGAATAAATCTTTCACTTTTAAACATCAAATCAAGTTTTAATTTTGCTTCAAGTTCTGACTTTAGACGAAACTTTGCATTATTTGCACTAATATAAATCTTAACCAGAGATGCATGAGAAGCGTGTAGACCCACCTTTCATTCTCCACTTATTCGGTCACATGGGTATTCTAAGATTTTTTAAATTTATTTTTTGCTAATGAATATTTTAAGAACAATTAGAGTTTACTTATATTATTTTAACCTGATGCTAGCATTAATTTTTAGCTTTTAAATGGTATATTTTAAAAGGCTAGTTATAATAGAATTTCAATTAGAGCACTATTGATAGGATTATCTATTTATAGGAAGACAACAGGAACCCTGGTGGTGGTTACACATTACCCTGCTAACTTTAAGGTTTCCAATCAAAAACACTAGCCACTCAGCAGGAGAAAGAGGATGCTTTCTATTTCAGTAAAGAGTTGTTTTCTTGGAAACCCTCAGGGGCAGCTCTGCTCTGACCTAAAAGGTCGCTCTGTGCTGAAATCTACTCAATGGTATCGAGTGAATATGGGAAATAATAATAGAATTAAAATACAGGAGGAAATGAATATTGAAAATTACAGTAGCCAACATTATTATAAACTTTTAGGAAGTAGCAAAATAAATAAAATGGTGGTTTTAGTCTGTATTTCTACAACTAATAAATATGTCATATGTGCAGGCAACTTAAACATTTCTTTACAATGAAGATATCAATCTATATGTTTAAAATTATATGTATAATACCTATTTAATGACAAGACTGCTCATTTTGGAGAAAAGCTTTAGAATGACAAAGTATGAGAGAAAATAATAATTTTATATGGGAAAGAATGAAAAACTCAGGTATATCTAATGCTAGTGTCCTAAAGTCCTGTTTTCTTAAGAAAATTTACAAGTGACACTCATTGTTCCCAAAAGATTTAGTATGATATATAAAGGATATAAATTGCATGAATTTACTGTAAATAATTTGCAGAGATAAAAGGACAGAACACAATGCTATTGAATGTAACTATCTTCTAAGAAAGAAATTAATAAAAACTTATATACTTCTGACTAGATGGATTTCAATTTGATTCCAAGTCTTCTGGTGTGAAAATTTTTAAAAATGATAAATTTCATAACTGACAGCATCCACAATAAAAACAAACCAATTTACTCAGGAGATGTGAAACTATTCCTGCCACTAAAATTTGAAATACATTTATCCCTAGGGTCAGCATAAATTGGTCAATGTAAAATATAGTGAAATTTGCCTTGAATAATATTTCTCTGCTAGACTCCATTAAAAGTTTTATAAGACTGCTTTAAATAATATCCTTCAATATAGATTGACTGCCCAGCTAAACAATTCTTATTGTTTAAGATTTTTTTAATAAATTAGTTTAAGAATTTTTTATTAAGTTAGTTTATTAATAGAGTTCAGTAAACTAGTAGATGAATTTTAAAAATCTCTCAAAGATTCATCAGAGATAATTTTATCTTTTCATAGTTCTTTAGAGAAAAGCACTGGCACTAGATCATGATCACTCAATGCATCTATTTAGTAAACAATTATTGAATATCTATCCTTTAGATATAGTCTTTATAAAAGAACATTGTGTTTGTCGTTAGAGTCTCTTCAGCCTCTCAGATCCTCGCCATAATATTGGTGGTACAACCCAGCCACAGGCATCAGATCAAAGAAATGTCTTGCCACCTACTTTCACAAAACGACTCCCACTGACTGCCCCCGTGATCACAATTCTACTCTGAAGCACCGCGTAGTTTCACACTGAGTCAGAGCTGACTTGGTGACCACTGGTACCGTTTATATTAATGCTACTGAGGCACACAGAGAAAAGATAATCATTTCCTATAAATCAACTATTCTGCTATGTCTGTTACTGGTAAACAAATAGGACAAACTTCTGGAGAGCACTGGAACATGAACATCTTTTGGTCAGAAGGACATTGCAGTTCCAACGCCATGCTCATAAACTGACCGCGGTGCTCTTCAGACAGTAGATGTTCACATATTCCGGCAGAGGGACTCACAGACACTTGCTGAATATTGCACTCTGCTTTGTGGTGGTCACCGTGTCTTTACTTTGGGAGAGTTGTATTCCCAACACAGGTTTTATGCTAAAACAGTGGTCTTATTGGGAGTTCTGTCAACCAGGACTTTAAAACTGTGATCTGAGAGAACCGGGGTATCTCTTCCTTGGGCGTTGTCTCTGGAGGGAGACGTTGCAGTCGATCAAACAGCTGTTTGCTATCTTCTTGAACTGTGTGTTTGTTGCAGAATACTTTCCGATGTGTCTCATCCAAGGCCTGGTCTGTTTAATCCCCTCTGATGCAGGTGAGAGTGATACAATCAAACTGGAACAAAGACGATGACTCGATGCATTCAAATTTGGTGTTGGTGAATAATATTCAATATACCAAAAGAACAAGCAAACCAGTCTTCGAAAAAACTATAACCAGAATGCCTCCTAAAAACAAAGTCATGAGATTTAGACTTGCTTAATTTAGATACATCATTACAAAAAGAACATCAGGTTTTGGTAAAGTGTCAGCAAAAATGAGGGAAGCCCTCAATTTGATAAGTTGACCATCAGCAGTAGATGAACTCAAATCCACCAGTTAGTATGCCAAAGATGTACGATACAACGTTTATTCCATTATACATAGCTATCCATGAGTTGGGATGAACTTGATTACAACTGACAGTAAAAAATTGGGGGAGAAATTGAAAAACAGAATGCTATACTGCCCCTGCCCCCATTTTATTTTTCTCAACAAAAATGATCAGTTCATTCTGTGCCTCATTTTATTCCCCAGATTTATGCCAGGAGTCAGATACACAGAGTTTAATGAGCCAAGATCTGTGTTTCAAGTACCTTACAGTTTGTGATAAGGTCCTTTCAAGGAACCAAAATTGCAGCTCAGGTTGGTAACTGATTTGTCAGGCCTATGCACACTGCACCGTGGAGGACAGAGGAGGTGCGCAGACCTGCTGGGAGTCAAGAGGGGGCTCAGTATAGAAGGCGTGGCCCTTCAATTGAATCTTGACCAATAATATGGATTAGAAAAGATGACGATAAAAGCCATTTAAAATTGGTTGGATGAATAAGGTCATCCAGCAGCATGGTAAAAGGGAGTCATTTGGGAGGTTGAAATTCAAATAAGACAGAAAATGAAGAATTAGAAGCAATAGGAGGGAAAATCCTGAAGAGTCAGAGGTTTGAACCTTTTAAAGGCAAGGAGACACTGACACAGATCACAACAAAACAAGCAAAAGCAGCCAGCAACCCTTCAGAGTAATGCTGTGACCACGTTTATGTTTGAGAATATCAGCCTGGGGTTATTATAGAGATATAATCAAGAAGACAGCAAAAGCTATTAAGAGGTTATGGCAGCAATGTGGAAGAGAAGAAATGAGAGTTTAAATTAAATCAGAAAAAATGTCATGAAGTAGGAGAGTAAAGAGGATGTGAAGGGTTGCATTTTGTGAATGTCTATGGCCTAACCTACCCTTTGAATGGGCACCGATGCATCTCATCATTTTATTTTCCTCTATGTAATTTTACTCCCACTTTCTTATGAATATAGATTTAGTCAAGCTTTTTAAGAATTGAAATGTGATTCTTTTCATATTCACCAAATCATACATAGCAGTCCACTTGAAACTGGAACATTTAATCACTTAGTACATTCTGCCTGCATAACAAAGCTCAACATTATAATCCTTCAGTTTAGTACAAGATGTGTGCCATCTCTGATACATTTACACTTCAATTACAATTACAATGCTTTCATCTTAACAGCTTCTAGTTTCTGGAGGATTGAGTCTCAAGGATTACACTATAATGAGAACAAAGGTTATTGACTGAATTTCTCATTTCTTTCTGAGATACTCTACCAGCTAAATAAAAGTGAAATGGAATTTATGCCAAGATGCTTTCTCCCTGCAGGAAAACATAATGGAAGTTATGAGAAATCAAGAGTTTTTACTCCTTCCAGCTGAGGAACTCCATAAACTCCTAGCCAGTGATGACGTTAATGTTCCTGATGAAGAAACCATCTTCCACGCGTTAATGATGTGGGTCAAGTATGACACACAGAGGAGATGCAATGACCTCAGTATGCTACTTGCCTTTATAAGACTGCCACTACTTCCACCACAGGTAATTGCATGCAACTCTGTTGTAATGGTTATGACCTACTGGAAAAATACAATCTATTAAAAGTAAACAATATAACCCTTTAAAAAAATCTTACTCATACTTCCGTTATGAAAAATTGCATATGTTTTAAGGCAAATAATGATGGAGACTTCAGGGATGCTCAGTCATTGCTCACAAACGTAGCTCTGCCAACTATCAAATCATGGTTGTAGGAAATCCACCAAATTGTTCTGGTCATGGTTCACTTTCTACATCTATGTAGCAGGATTTATTGACATGCAAACATGCAAAGTTCTGTGAGAATCAAAGATGATGCTGTTAGATCTCTCCGTAGCTAGATATACCTCGGTCCTTGGCTCCGTGCAAGAAAGAATTCACGCCGAAGCCTGGTTCGTGATCCAAGTGAGTTTTATGAGAATTAGACGTTTCAGGTTTACACGGCACCCGAGGGGCTCCTCCTGAACATGCGGCCTGGTTGGAAGCTGCTCGGCGTCATGCAAAAGTGTTCCAAAGTCCTGCCAAAGCTCTCTGCACCAAAGTTCTCTCTCTCCCGCTCCACTCCGGGCTTCTGCCTTTTCAAGGATTCCACGGGGAGGCATGGTGGGTCTTCCTGATCGACCCCATTGGCCAAATTGAATTCACCTGGCCCAGATGGGCCAATTCAGGTTCATGCCCACCCCTGCCTACCGGCAGGAACCCTGGACATGGACAATGCGCCACTCCTTTGTTCCCCTAGCTTGGCCCTCTGGGCACACGTTAACGGACATTTCCAGCTCTAGCTAATCTACCTAACAATGCCATATGTAAATACATTTTGGGGGAATAAAAAATATATATACTTATATCATTATTCATTTTTGCTTCCCTGTTTCTGAAAATAATTAATTTGACTTAAAAGACAAAATTGTGATCTTCTTTGATAAAATAGATATTGTATGATCATCTAAGGGTACCTCTTAAAGTTCCGTACAGGATGTGTTAAGCACTTATCATCAGAAAGAATATCTTACCCATATGTGAGTTATGAATAGGATGTTGTTATTATATCCCATTGAATTGGTTCTGAATCAGAGCAAGCTTGTGTAAGACAGAACAAACACCACCTAGTCTATGCCATCCTTGTAATTATCCTTATGTTTGAGCCCGTGGTTACAGCCACTGTGTCAATTAATCTCATCAAAGCCTTCCTCTTTTTCACCATGCTTCCACTTTACCAAGCATCGTATCCTTCTCTAGGGACTGGTCTCTCTTGATAACACATTCAAAGTACAAGGGAGGAAGTCTCACCATTGTTTTCTCTAAGGAGTATTCTTGCTGTACTTCTTCAAAGACAAATCTGTTTGCTCTTTGGGTAGCCCATGGTATGTTCACTGTCCTTCGTCAGCCTCACAGTTCAGGTGCATCCAGTTTTCCTTATTCTTGCTTATTCAATGTCCAACCCAGAAATGCACAAGGGCCAATAGAAAATAATGTGGCTTGGGTCAGGCATACCTTAGTCTTCAAAGTCACATCCTTTCTTTTCAACACTTCAAAGCGATCTTAAGCCGCAGATTTACCTAATGATCTCTTGACTGCTGCTTTCATGGGTAGTCATTGTGGGTTCAAGCAAGATGAGAGCCTTGAGAACGTCTCTTTTTTTCTCTGTGTCTCATGATATTACCTAATCATCCAATTGGGAGAATGTTCTGTTATAATTACTTTGAGGTTTAATCCATACTGAAGGCCGAAATCGTTGATCTTCATCGGCAAGTGCTTCAAGACTTCTTCACTTTCAGCAAGCACTGTGTTGTCATCTGAATGTAGCGGGTGGTTAATTAGCCTGGCTCCAATTCTGATGCCTCATTCTTCTTCATTTGTTAATCTAGCTTCTCTGATGACCGACTCAGCATGAGCATGGTGAGGGGATACAACCCTGATGCACACTTTTCTTGATTTTAAGACATGCAGTAGTTTCCTGTTCTTGTGACCCATGCACAGATTCCCCATGGGCACAATGAAGTGTTCTGGAATTCCCATTATTCTCATGAATTTCCATACTTTGCTGCGATCCAATCACATGACTTTCCATGGTTAATGCAACACAAGTAGACATATTTCTTGTATTATTTACTTTCGGTCTGACCTCAACAATGATATGCCTCGTTCCCCTTCCTGTTCTGAATCTGGCCTGAATCTTTAGCAGCTCCCTGTCAATGTAGTATTATAACTGTTGTTGGGTTATCTTCAGCAGAATTTTACTTGCATTTGATATCAATGATAGTCTTCTATAAATTTAACATTCTATTGGGTTACATTACATTAGTACAGATCTAGATCTCTTCCAGCTGGTTGGCCAACTGCGCAGTTGTTTTCCAAATTTCCTGCCATACGTGAGTGTGAGTACATCCCGTGCTCGATTAGCTTGTCGAAACATCTCCCATCAATTCCTGGAGCCTTGTTTGTTGCTAATACAATAAGTGCAGCTTTAACTTGTTCCATCAGTGCCATTGGCTCTTGCTCTTATGGTACCACTTGAAGGGGTGGAATGTCTCCTAGTTCCTTTTGGTAAAGTGACAACATTTTTCTTTCCCATGTTCTCTTGAGGCTTCCTGCATCATTCAATATTTTGCCAGTAGAATATTTCAATATTGTAATCCAGGCTTGAGTTTTTTCCTGAGTTCTTTCCATTTAACATACCATAAATACTTGAGTATAAGCTGACTGAATATCCACCTAATTTTACTGCAAAAACTCTATTTAAAATGTGCTGGAAAATTCGGCATGTTCTTTATTTCATTGTTTTTCTAACTCTAGGTCTTTACCCATTTTACTATAAAATTTTCATTGTCTGTTTCAGCTGCCCTTTGAAAGTTTCTGTTCATCTCTTTGACTTTATCATTTCTTCCATTTGCTGTAGCTAGCTATCTGCCACTTAGAGAAGTTTCATAGCCTCTTGTGACATCCACTTTGATCTTTTCTGTCTTTTCATTGACCTTTTGCTTTCTTAATGTATGATGTTTTTGTTGTCAGCCCACAGCTCCTTAGGTCTTCTGATATTACTGTTCAGTGCATCAAGTCTGTTCTTAAGATGCTTTCAAAATTCGGGTGGGATAGGCTCAGGGTTGTATTTTGGCCCTCCTAGACTTGTTTTAATTTTCTTCAATTTCAACTTGAATTTACATATGACCAATTGATTATTCCACATTTTGACCTGATTTTAGCTGCTGATATTGATCTTTTCAATTGCCTCTTCCCACAGATGTAGTTAATTTGATTTCCACCACATTACTGCAAATGGATAGACAAATGATGGAAGAGTACCTTAGCGATGATGAATATTGTTATACAGAATGACAAGTTCGTTTAAGATGTTAAGTGGTATTTTAAAGGTCTCAGGGATAATGAATCAAGTTTCCATTCAAATTTGGGCTAGTCAGATATGAGCATAAACAGAGATAAGACTATTGTGAGCATTGTTTTTTCACAGTTTTCGTTTCCTTTGTTCCCACCTCTTAAATGGAAAAGGATAATTTATTTTACCGAATCCAGTATTTTTAAAAGCTTCTATACAGAAACTAGAGAAGGAATAAGAATAATGGAATCATATCTAAGTCACATTTAGAGCTACCTTATGTAGCAAATTTCTCCCACAAAGAGTTACAATCTCTGAAACTCATAGATACAGTTGCACCCTACCCTATTGCATCACTGTGAGTTGGGATTGACTCCTTGGTCATGTGTTTGCTTCATAAAAAAACAACACCTTTTAAAATTTCTATATAATCTCTATGCAATAAATATTATTTCCATTTCACAAAAGTGCAAGTTAAGAATTCGCACAGTTATTGATTTACTATTAAAGTATGCAGTTCAGAGTGTACTCCCGGTAGATCTAAATATTGAAATGATTCTCCTTCTGTTATGAAGAAACCTACATGATATGTGTGTTTGTAATTGGCTTTCTAATTACTACACGGTTCAGGCAGGTTTTTTAACAAGATAATACCGAACCTCGCAATTTCTAGCCTTTTACATGGGCTGGGATGCTGAGGTTGCTGATCATTCAGATTATATTTTAAAGCTCTTAAAATTATCACAAAAGAATTTTCCTTGAATCTGAAACCATTAATATAGGCTTGGTCCTTAATTTCTAGAGGGAGTAAATTATAGATCTTCTATAACCTTTTAAATATTTGAGTGAGCAAATGTTCCTAAATATCTGTTATCATTAAGAGTAGATAAGCGATATTTTGGGGGGAAAAAGGTGGTAAAGAAAAGATAAAAGTAAATAGAGCAAAATTTTAATAATAGGAAAAGTTATTGGGAGATAGTTTAATAACAAGGCTGTACTGTAGAGTACGATTAGAAATTTAAATAGTTTAATAACAAGGCTGTACTGTAGAGTAAGATTAGAAATTTAAAGTATTAAATAATATTAAAAGTATTAAATCATAATTAAAAGTATTAATTATTATAGAAATAATCATGAGTTGAGAATAGATATTTTTACCCCCAAACTTGTCCATTCACTTCTCATACATTAAGCCCCTTATAATGAAATGTGTTGCTTTTGTTGCTGTCTTTTTTGTTGTCAAAATGTTTTTATATTAAAGAGATGTGAGACAAAAACTAATATAGAGGCAATAAATTCACTTTCAGTTTAATTAACACGGATATTCCATGTCCCTTAACCTTCAATTCAAGAAACCCAATACCATGAGTCTTTGTTTATACATAGCAGTCTTAGCATCTACTTTTAAAATTTATCTTTGTAAATATATCTAGTACTCAACTTTTGCCACTTTAACTTGTAATAGTTATACAACTTATTGATAAGATTTATGCTAATAACTTTGCAGGTTCACCCTTGTTCATTGTGATTTCCCCATAAATTGAAACTCAGTATTCTGTCAACGTAAATATCCCCCCACCCCACCTGCCCAAGGGAACCGCTCATAAGCATAATCTTCAGATATTTGCCTGATCTTCTCTTTTTATGTAAGTCATGCAACGTTTGTCCG